CAATTGATGTGTGTATGGATTGTGATAAGAGTTGTATGAGCCCCTAATAAAATGATTTTTTTTTAAAGAAAAAGAAAATGGGAAAAAAAAAAAACCCAATAAAGTACCATGGAGTTCTAGAAGAACACACAAATCTGTCTTGGGGCAGAATGGTCCTTAAAAGTGAGGATGGCAAGACTTCACCTCACGAACTTTGGACATGTCATCGGGAGGGACCAGTCCCTGGGAAAGAGCATTGTGCTTGGTAAAGTAGAGGGTCAGGAAAAAGGAAACGACCCCCAACGAAATAGACGGACACAATGCCCGCAGCACGGGATGCGAAATAGACAGACACAATGCCCGCAACACGGGATGCGAAATAGACAGACACAATGCCCACAACACGGGATGCGAGCCTCGCAATAATTGTGAGAATAGTGCAAAACTGGGTAGTGTTTGGTTCTGGTGCACACAGCATCTCTGTGAGTCAGAACTGACTTGATGGCAGCTAACAACAACAACAAACATAACTAGAATTGTAAATAATGATGATGTTGAGAAAAATATTGATTCAAATTAGCAAGCTCCAACTTCATTTGAGTTTCATTCTTAAAAAAAAAATGAGAGGAAAAGTAGTGCCAGACTTTATGAAGTAGATTATTTAAAATATTAATGTCTAAAACCTAACAAAAGTGTTAAAACCCAGTATATTATTGGTTGATTTGGTGGTAGTGTTAACGTCACAGAGAAAATAAGGTCCAATGCTGATCTTTGAACCCAGTCAATTTGATACTAGAGTTTGTTCCCTAAACCCAAGTTCTGTTGGTTCTTCAGAGGGTCTATCACTCAGGGCCCAGCCAGCCCAGCCACTTGGTCACTTTCATTCTGTCCTCCTTCCCAAGCAGCCATGCACTTGTTCCTGATTGTTGAAGGTTAGACCTAAAGAGTAGTCGTCTCTTTTGACCACCTGGGCTTTTCTTCTTGTTGTAGAATGTGTATCACCTCCCCCTTTTCAGGCCCAATAACTATCACTTATCTGTGGCCAAGAAATCCATAATTATCTCCTCTGAACTGAACATCTTTGGTATTCAAAAGAATGATAAATGAAAAACGGAAGTCAAGATCAACCACCATATAGCTAGAATATTGAAGGTACCGTAGACTTTTAGAAGAACAAATAAATCTGTCCTGGATGATGTACAGACACCACTAGCCCCAAATTATCTCCACTTCTATTACAATATATTATTTGTAATGATACACAGGGCTTAACTTGTCAAAAAGATCTCAGAATATTTTTAAAGGAAAACTAAGGACATAAAGTGATTGGAAATAATTCTTAGTTGCTCTAGAGACTATTAATTATGTTTAGGTGCATATGGATTGGCAAAAGAGAAAATGACTCATAGGATGTGGGAAAATTCTTTACTGGGTTCATATGCATCAATAGGATGTTTATGATCTTTAATGCAAAGCCAGCTAATAAATGAAAAATTACCACTCTTCTTGGGGTTGTTAGGTGTCATTGAATCAGTTCCAACCCATAGCAACCTTATGCCCAACAGAAGGAAACACTGCCCAGCCCTGCACCATCCTCACAATGGTTCCTGTGCCTGAGGCCACTGTGGTACCCATGGTGTACCCAGCTTGTTGAGGGCCTTCCAAGTTTTTGCTGCCCCCACACGTGACCAAGCATGATGCCCTTCCCCAGACACCAGTCTCTCCTGACAACATGACCAAAGTACCTGAGAGGAAGTCTCACCATCCGTGCCTCTCGGGAGCACTCTGGCCATACTTCTTCCAAGACAAATCGGTTTGTACTTTTAGCAGTCCATGGTACCGTCAACATTCTTCTGTAGCACAATTCAAATGCATCAATCTTCTTCGCTCTTCCTTATTCAATGCCCGCCTCTCACAAGCGTATGAGGCCGTGGAAAATACCACGGCTTGAGTCTGGCACACCTTAGTCCTCAAAGTACCATCCTTGCTTTTCAATACTCTATAGAGGCCTTGTGCAGAAGCTTTCCCTAATACACTTCAGGTTTTGACCTCTTGACTGCTGCTGCCATGAGCATTGATTGTGGATCCCAGCGAGACAAAATCCTTGATGACTTCAGCCTTTTCTTTATTTGCCAGGATGTTACCTACTGGTCCAGTTGTGAGGATTTTCATTTTCTTTACACTGAATTGTAATGCACACTGAAGGCTGCAACCCTTGCTCTTCATATAGTACTTCAAGTTCTCACTTTCAGCAAGTAAGGTTGTGTCATCTGCATACCACAGGTTGATAATAAGCCTTCCCCCAATCCTGATGGCGCACTCTTCACGTAATCCAGCTTCTCTGATGATGTGTTAGTATGGGTTGACTAGAAAAATAAATTCATAGACACTCATATGTATATAAGAAAGAGCTTTATATACAAGAGTAATTGAATATTGAGGAAAACATCCAGAGCAAGTCCATAAGTCCATATTAACCCATATGTCTGAAACCAGTCTATAAATTCCTCTTCAAACTCATGTAACACATGCAATGGAGCCAAAGGCAGGAGGATCACAGGCCAGTGGGTTAAAAGTCTTGTGGATCAAGTGGTGGTAGAGGCATCTCGTTGCTCGCAGGGGTCTCCATGTGGTTCCCTCAGATCCAGGGCTCTAGCATAGCTCCAGGTATCTTGTTAGTAAGCATGTTTCACAGGGAGTGAATCTGTCTCCTGCCTACAGCGAGCTAATTATCTCCTTAGCAACTCTAAGATCAAGCTGCAACCTGATTGACAGGCTAACCTCCACCTCTTCACTCTTAAATCTCAAATTGACAACAGATTATGTAACTACCACAGATGATATGAATATTTCTAGTCTAATCTGTACTCCTGCAAAAGTTTTTAGAATTATGCCTCGCATGTGGTTAAAATCCAGTATAGAGTTTGACATCCAATCTAGCTGGAACATGGATATAGTCAGTGGTGCAACTCCTTTAGTTTATGCAAGTTGACAAAACAGGTCTGGTGAAGTGTGTTGTTGTTGCTGCTTAAATTTAACCTCATACACAATGGATTAGATATATTTATAGAACTGGAGAAATGTGTTGTTGGTCTTTATCTATTAAACTGGAAAATATAATCTGATATAGCCAGCTGATACAGCTAGAAAACATGGAAACACTATTAAAATGTTAGAACGCTAAAAAAAAACCAGTGGTGTTTGGAAGCCAGTCCCTTGAAGATTCCTACCGAGAATTTAAAGATATTCAGCTGTATTTCTGGGAGCTTTGAAAGGGATAAGTTGTTACATGAAGGTTGTTACCTTTCATAAAGAGGCTCATTGAATGGTCAAAAGTGTGAAATGTTTTGCTCAAAAATTAGAACTAGTCTTACCTTCTTGCTGAATCATACTGAAGTTCCGTGTTTGCCCTAAAGAAACCTAAGGGAAATTTCTCAGTCGGGTGAATAAAGTCAGAAAGGAGAGTCACGTTGTTCTAGTTGAACAGCAATCTCATTTAGCAAGCAATGTCATTTCCAAAGATGATGTTTGGGATGCGGAATCGGTATGTTTAACTGATGTTGTTGGTATTTTTAATGAACGTAAATTGGAAGCATCAGGGAGAAAACAACAATACAATTCAGCATGTCAAACATATCCAGGATTCCGAACGGCATTTTGTTACAGCAAGCACGACTTGAAAGCAATCATCCCAGTTCCTATTTGCACCCACTGTTGTTACAGCCTATTGAAGAGGGCATTATTAGTAAAGACAATGTGACTGAAATAAAAGTAGGGAGACTGTACCCTTTTAATGTCGGTTCAAGAGTGTAATCATTATTTTCCAGAAGAGAAATTGTATTTCTCCAGAAGAGAAAAAAATATTCAGATGAAAGAATGATTTTCTTTTCAAAATCCTGAATCAATAATTGAGCTAACCTTGGTGCCCCAAAGAGAATGAATGACATAAATGAAGCTTTTCGTTTGCATTAGAGGATGATCACAAGACATTAAATTTATCAGTAGCAGCAGAGATTACGGAAGAAGGGTTTCCTTCACTAGACAAGAGTAACTTCGCTGTTACTCCCATTCATGATAACCTGCTGATACGAACCAGGATTTGCAACCTTTAAAACCAATTCGAACAAAGGCAAGAACAAAGTTCAAAAGTGTTTGCTTATGTGTTGTGTTCAGGGCTGGCCTGGTCTTGGAAACAGACAAACACACCTAGTGTGTTAAATCACATCTTTTTTTGTTTTTGTGTTGCTTCTGTAGCAATTTTCTTCTATGCTACTTTTAAATATTAAGATATTAACTGTGTTCTTCATTTTTATACATAAGTCAGTACTCTTTTTTAAGCTTTAATTATATTCTGGAAGGGTAATAAATGTACAGATTGCTATGTAAAAAATAATTTCTCACTGGGGTGCTATGTTAGGCTGGGTTCTTTAGAGAAGTAAAACCAGCCATGATTTTATAGCTAACAAGCTAAATAAGATAGAAAGTATATCTGTCTGTCTATCTATCTATCTAGAGAGAAATTTATATCACGAAAATAACTCACACAATGTGGAAGCCTCGAAGTCCAGTCCTGTTCTAATACATGGGTCAGATGGTAAAAAGAAGGTTTCTCCTTACTTGTGTAGTTGCAATCAGGAAGCAGGAAGACCACAGTTGGTAGATGCAGAGGTGGATAGATCCAAGGTCAACAGGTAAATCTTGTGGCTGCAGAGTCCAATGAAATTGAGGGTGGCAAGTCAGATGGCAGGCCACTGGTAGCTCCCAGGATCGACAGGCAATATTGCAGGCTGTTGGCTCCAGTCCAAAGAGCCAGAGGCTGACAAACCAGATATAAGTTCCAAATTCAGCAACAAGCAAACACGTTCTCCACAGTCTATTTATATAGGAAGTAGACCACACCCCCAAGGTAACCTCATCTGAGCTATAACCTGGGTAACAAGGGTTGCATTCCACCCAATCTTGTTAAACTGATTGGCTGCTCATGCAGATCCCATTAAGGAGTTGATTACACGGTTTGGGCCACCTCATGTGGGGTTTCTAAGCCCTAACTGCCAAACAACTGAGAATCCCGGCCCAGCTAAATTGACACCAAATCCAACTATTATAGTGTTTTTTGTTTTTTCCAAAAGAAAATTGAAAAGCATTTTCCAATGCCTGTCCTCTCTCAAGCCCAGGCCCTACAGAATGTAAGGAGTCCCTTGCTTACGTTAAGGAGTCACTTAACATGCCCAGCTGCTAGCTGAAAGTTTGGCAGTTCAAGTTCTCCCAGAGGCACCAAGAAGTTCAAGAAAGGCTTGATGATATACTTCTGAAAAATCCGTCATTGAGAACTGTAGGCAGCTTAGTTTTACTTTGATACACAGGAGATCAACATAAATCAGAATCTACTCGATGGCAGTGTTTACTACTTCTTACAGAATAGAAGGTCCCTATAGACATGAATCTAGTCGGTCCTATTCAAGACCACACCATTCGCAGCATCTAGTGCATCATACATGGCCTTTGTGTTGTTAGGTGCCTTGTAATTCATAAAACTCAATGTACAGCAGAAGAACCTGATCGTAGGTGCTATGCCATCCTCACCCGACTTGCTATGTCTGAGCCCATTGCCATAGCTACGATGCCAATCCTCCTTGCTGACGGTCTTCCTCGTTTTCCCAGACCCTCTACCAAGACATCTGAAGATGTCTTTCACAAGAGACTAATCCCTCCTGATTACAGGTCCAGAGTACATGAGCCGAAGTCTAGTAATTCTTGCTTCTAAGGAGCATGCTGCCTGTATGTCTGTCAAGTCAGATGTGTCTGTGCTTCTGCTAGACCATGGTACTTTCAGTGTTCTTCACCGACGCCCTAATTCAAAGTTATCCGTTTTGCTTCAGTCTTCTTTATTCCTTGTCCAGCTTTTGAACTCATAGGAAGTGATTAAAAATATCAAGATGTGCCTGAATCTTCAAAGTCACACTTTTGCTTTTTAGAACTTTAGTCTTTTAACATGTTAACGAAGAGTTGCCCAGTGCAATATGTTGTTTGATGTCTTGACTGCTACTTCTTAGGGGCACTGATGAGTGGTCTCAGTCCAGGGAAATCCTTGCTAACTTCATCTTTTATCCATCTTTCAGGATGTTGCAGTTGTGAAGAGTTTTGTTTAATTTACGTTGAGGGGTTATCCATACTTAAAGTTGTTGTCTTTGATCCTCATCGGTAAATATTCCAAGTCCTCTTTGCTTTCATTTACATATCACAACGTGTTCATGAGTCTCCCTCCAATCCTGGTAATATGTTCCTCACATAGTCCAGCTTCCCGGATTAGCTCCTGAGCCCATGGATTGAATTGATGTGATGAAAGGTAAATCTGAGGCATACCTTTCCTGATTTTAGCCATGCTGTATCCCCTTTCAACAACTGCCCCTCAGTCGACAGACAGGCTCGACATGATCCTGTACAATGGAGTGTTCTGGAATTCCCATTCTTTGTAACAGTATATAATTCGTTTTGATCCACCTAATCAAATGCCTCTGTATAGTCAATAAAACTTTCTGGTATTCTCAATTCTCAGTCAAGATATAAATGGATCAGGACAATGTTTTTCAAATGGCAGGCTGAGATCTCCTCTTGGATCATAAAGTTGATTTATGAGATGAAAACCAGCATTAAAAGAAATGCAATAGAAATTACCAGAGTAAATTGCAAGAAATACGGGGCAAATACCACTGCATAAAACTGTTGCATTGTGCCCATGTGCTGACCAAAGTGCGAAATGGACTCATGTGGACCACAGTAGAGAAGTGTATACACCTCCAAGTCAGGGATCTATAAGCAGGAGACACGTCTGTCTCTCTTCTCACTGTCCCAGGGAGGAGGAACATGCTAGGGAGAATCCCCTTCTCCAGTCATAAAAGGCCTACGAAATCGTAAATACCAGCTAACATCACATGCATCATCAAAGAGAAGCCATTCCAGCCATCACATTAGGGGTGAGGTTAATTAAAGCTTTGACTAAACATAGCAGCCTAATTTTCAAGCTGATGGTTTTGTATGGCCCACGAATGATGTTATAAATATCCCAGTGGCCCTTGGCAAAAATGAGATCCCCCACCTCTAGTCGAAGAGAACTGTGGAGTAGCAGGCCTGTTGCTAAACCAAACCAACTACTGCCACTAAATTGATGCCAGCTCATAGTGACCCTAGGTTTTCTGAGGCTATACGTCTTTATAGGGAAAGACAGCCTCATCTTTTTCCCTCAGAGAAGCTGGTGGGCTTGAACTACTGACCCCAAGGTGAGCAGACCAACGCTAATCCCACAGAAGTATTAGGGCATTGCAAAAATAACCTCTTTTAGAGATTAACACAAGACTACAGTTAATGAAATGAGGATTAACGATGCCCCAAATGTCCAACGTTTCCAAAATTGCTATACCATCCCCATTGTCCCTGATATCAACTATCACTCCTCCCCTTAATACACCCCCTCACATCCTAGGGTTCTACAATTTGCTGCAAAGAATCACAGAACTCACGCCCTTCTGGAAATGGCTCGTGTGGTTGTGGAAGCTGGTAAACCCCAAATCCAAAGTTAAGATGTTCGTCGGGAGGATCCTCCTCATGCACAAACTGGTGAATCAAGTCAGGTAATAGGCTACGACTGGAGTCCCAAGAACCAGAGGCCAGGCAGAAGCCAGGCAGATGCAGGAGAGCAAACTATCCCAGCATGAAAGCAGGTCTCCCTGGCTGTGGTTATTAGGTGCCCTGCAGTTTGTTCCAACCCTCAGCAGCCCTGTGAAAGGAAGCACGGCCCTCTGATGTTCACATCTGAGCCCACTGTTGCATCCACTCTGTCAGTCCCTCTGGTTGAGGGTCTGCCTCTTTCTTGCTGACCACCTACTTTTCCAGGGACTGTCTCTCCTGACAACGTGTCCAAACTATATGAGACAAAGTCTTACCGTCCTCGCTGCAAAGGCGCATTCTAGCTGCATTTCTTCTAAGAGAAGTTTGTCTGTTCTTCTGGCAGTGCATGGTACTTTCAAGATTCTTCACCACACTGTAATTCAAACGCATCAACCCTTCTGGAACCTTCCATATTCATTTCTCCAACGTCCACACCCCTTTAAGGCCATTGAAAATGCCATGGCCTGACTCAGGTACACCTTCCTCAAAGTAACACCCTGATGCATAGACCCTTTATGAAGTTCAGCTTCTTGGAGTGTTTGCCCAGTATAAAGATTGGATACGTATGGCAAAAGGATACAACCCTTACACGCATCTCTCCTGCTTGTAAAGCATGCATCGTTCCCTCGTTCTGTTCACATGACTGTCTTTTGATCTATGCACAGGTGCTGCACCAGCACAATGAAGTGTTTTTGAATTCTGATTCTTTGAAATGTTATTCATAGTTTGTTATGATCCACATATAGTTGAATGCCTTTACATGGTTTATAAAGCACAAGGAAAAGTCTTTCAGTTATTCTCTGCTTTGAGCCATGATCCATCTGACATAAGCCATGAGAATCCCTCGTGACACATCCTCATTTGGATCTGGTTTGGATTTCTGGCAGCTCGCTCTCAATGCACTCCTACAATCATTTTTTAATTCAGCAAAAGTCTCCTTGCATGTGATATTAATGCTATTGTTGGATAATTTCCACATTCTATTGATCTATCTTTTTTGGAATGTGCACAAATATGGATCTCTTCCAGTCAGTTAGCCACGCAGCTGTCTTCCACATTTCTTGGCACAGACTTTGCATGGTGCTTCCAGTGCTTCATCGGTTTGTTGGAATCTTTCATTTGGTTCCATTCATTCCTGGAGCCTTGTTTTTCACTGGATCACTTGGGATGTAGCGGGCTGTGCATTGGTCTTCAAGCCACAGGGTCAGCAGTTGGAAACACCAACTCATCCACAGGCGAAAGATGGGACTTTCTTCTTTTGACAATAGTTACAGTCTCAAAAACCCACAGGGTTGCTATGAGTCAAAATGAACTCTATGGTAGTGTGTTTGGTTTGGTTTAGTTTTCCCTAATGTCTCCAATGAAGCTTGGATGTCTTCCTTCAATACTACTGGCTCTTGATCTTGTACTGTCTTTCGAAATGGTTAAATGTTGGCCAATTCTTTTTGGTATCGTGGCTGTATATTCTATCCATCTTCTTTTGATGCCTCCCGCATTGTTCATTATGTTGTCCATGTAATCCTTCAATATTCTAACTCAAACCTTGAATTTTTCTTCCAGTTCTTTGAGCTTGAAATATGTTGAGTGTATGCAAGAGCACTTTGTTCTATTAAACTGACATTCCATGATGCTCACCTTCCTGACATGATTGCTGAAGACAAAGCAGGTGCATAAACAAATGTGTTGAAGAAAGCTGATGGTGCCCAGCTATCAAAAGACATAATGTCTGGGGTCTTAAAGACTTGAAGATAAACAAGCGGCCATCTAGCTGAGAAGCAACAAAGTCCACATAGAAGAAGCACACCAGCCTGTGTGATCACTAGCTGTTGATGGGATCAGGTATCAGGCATCAAAGAACAAAAATTCATATCAATGTGAATGAGGGGGAGTGTAGAGTGGGGACCCAAAACCCCACTGTAGGCAATTGGACATCCCCTTACAGAAGGGTCTCGGGGCGGAGACGAGCCAGTCAGGGTGCAATGTAGCAACGATGAAACATACAACTTTCCTCTAGTTCCTAAATGCTTCCTTTCTCCCCGCCC